CTCCCTACTATGGGCCGCGAGCCTGTTCTCTGGGCTACCAGTCGGCCCAGATTGGGCAGGTCGACCGCTGCAAACCGAGGGTAGCGCTGAGTCCTGGCTCCGTTGGTGTTCTGGGGTAGCCTTGCCGCAGGCAGAGCTTTTTGCCCTCTCCGGTTGTCTTGTCCAATCAAGTCCGACTGTACTGCTGAGGCCCGCCCAAAGTGAAGTCGGGCCTGTCCCCCACAGGAGGAGGAATCTTCAAAAATAGTCAAACGATAATCTGGGGACGATGTTTTGAGTATTATCTGAGCATGTTTGAATATTTGTTGTTTGTTTTGTTTTTGTTTTTGTCCAAATTCCCCCTGTAGGAGGACACGTCCGACCTACGCCTAAAGATGGAGCGCCAGGCTTCTCCGTGGCTCGCCGCGGAGGGTCCTCCCTGCCCCTTCCTCGTCGCAGGCCCAGAGGTGGACACCAACACCTCCTCCTCCTTTTCCTCGTCTTTCTCCTCCTCCTCCTCCTCCTCCTCCTTCTCCTCCTCCTCCTCCTCCTCCTCCTCCTCCTCCTCCTCCTCCTCCCCCTCCTTTTGCCCGCCGCCGAGAACGAGAGCCGGCGCGCCGAGGGAGGGCCCCCCCAGGTTTGCTCCGCGAGGGCCTCCCCGAGGAATCCTGGGCGGCTCCGCCCCCCCGACCCGTGGGCGGTGTGCCTCCGCCGAGGGAAGAAGATCCCGATCTCGGTGATGGTGGTCATATTCCGAGGAATCCTGGGCGGCTCCGCCCCCCCGACCCGTCCCGAGGTTGACACCAGCACCAATTCGGGCCGGGCGAAAGGGGGGGATTGGGAAAGGGGGGGGTACGAAATTTGCTGCGTGCAGCTGGTTTCGGCCCCACCGAGGGGCCCATTCCTCGATACATGGGCGCCTTCCGGCGCCGGGAGGCGCCGGGAAAATCAGCTACGTGAGCTGATTCTCAAACCCCCCGTTTGCTATCCCCCCCTTTCGCCCGACCCGACCAGTGTGGGCGGTGTGCCTCCGCCGAGGGAAGAAGATCCCGATCTCGGTGATGGTGGTCATGTTCTGGCTCCCAGGTGGCCGAAACAGTACCACCAGCACCGAGCTCTAGGAACATGCTCCCCCTGTGGAGGCAGCCCCCGTGTTGGTATTGGTGCCTGTCTCCAGGCCTCCAATCCGTCCCTCCGTCCCCGCCTCCCTGCCCCCCGCCCTCCCAGGCTGTGGCCGGCGGAGAGCGCGGGGGCAAAGGTGACGTCAGCGGGAGCACCTGCTCACGCGTGTGTCTGCGTGCCACTGGTTGAAGAAAGTAGGTTTTCCTGGATTCCCAGGACCCCATCCACTCCAAGCGCGTTCCTGCTGCAAGAGCCGATTTTGCTGCGGTTTGTTGTGCTCTGGGAGAGGCCTGATCCCAATCTACTTTACCCGCCTTCCTGCTTCATGTTTTTGTCTGCTTCTTCTCTGACCGACTGGCTGGCTGGCCGCACCGGTGCGCTTATCTTATGATGTTCTAACCTACTCTAGCCTAGATTACCAGACATGATTTCGAGCGCCAGAAATTCACCCCCAAACCCCAGGGTTTTCGCGCGTCGGGCCCTAGGAGGCACTCGTCCACCGACACTGTTTCGACACTCCTCGACCTTATTTCGACACTCTTTCGACACTTTTCCCGGTGCTCGAAATTATTCCTGGGATGTGGTCCCTAAGTACGTTGGGAGCAGCATAACGCTTATCCTGACTTATGATGTTTCAACCTACTTTAAACCTTGTTCCCCAGAAAGAGTTTCGAGCGCCAAGGAAGTACCAAGTCGGGAGGGCTTTCGCGCGGGGGGCCCTGGGAGGTGATACTCGTTCGACACTGCTTCGATAGTTTCCTGGGTGCCGGAACTGATTTCTGGGATGTGGTTCTCAAGTACGATGGGCGCAACATAAATCTTAAGTCGGGTCTCTCTCCCTCGAGGGGAGAACTGTTCAAAACACGCTAAAAACAAGCCAGGTTTTTATTTAGTCTATGTCTGAGCATGTTTGGTATATTTCCTTTTGCTTCGTCCAAACTCCGCCTGTAGGGGGACACGCCCGACCTGATCAATCCTGACATGCCTTCCGCGGCGAGTGCCCTCCCGCCCCCGCCTGTCCTCCGAGGCCGCTCCTCCCCGCCATTCATATGTATGTACATTTTTCTATATATATATATATATATATATTAATATATGTATATATATATATATATATATATAAAAAAAAAATCTGCACGCATGTATGTATATGTATATCTAAATTTGTGTATATGTGGATACATATATATATACACACGTGTATATATATACATATATATGCGGCCGGACAGTTCGTGTGCCGAGTGCGCCCCGGGCATCTCGAGCGCAGCAGGGGATTGTTTCTGCCGCGCCGCGGCAGAAGCAATCGGGGCCGGATTCGCATCATAGCTGTTCCCGAGGTGGGCATCATAGCCGCCACCATGGCCAATCAGCTCATGTTTTTTGTCGTTGACTTCAGTACATGCGTAGCATGCTCCAGGCCACGTTCATAGGGATATGGGTCGGTTAAACGGTATGCAGAACAAAGTGTCCGCTCGTCTGCAATCGTACAGTGGAGGTCCATGCCCAGAAACACCCTGCTCGCCTCCAGGGTGCCCTGGGTGTCTTGGGTCTTGGTGGTTTTGTTATGGAGAGCGTGACGTTCCCAGGCCAAAAAGCAATGAACGTCCTGGGGTCTCAGGGTTTGTTTTTTTGTGTGTGGGAAGTTTCTCGTGGTCGAGTCCCTACTGTACATAACGCACCCCATCCCGCGCTCTCGCCCGAATCGTACCTTGAGCAACAGCGCGATGGATTGTCCAGGACTCCCGCCTACTCTGTTGCGAGCCCGTCTTTGTGCTATTCTCAAGGGGGCAAGTCAGGTAGGGCCAGCTCACGCGCCAAGCGCGCGCGAGTATTCTGGTGTGTATACAATCTTCTTCAGACCGTGCGTGCACCTAGGGGGTCTACTTCAGTTCGTTAAGTAGTTCGGCAGGTCCGCTGGGTTTTTCTCACGTTGCCGCCCAGTGCCGCCTCGCGGGCACTCGTTGGCGCCCTGTGCGCTGGGTGGGTCAGCCGAGGTTGCGCCACGTTGCCGCAAGTGCCTCTCCGCCGTGTGGGTCCTCCGCGGTTGCGTCACATTGTCGCCCGGGCCGCCCCGTGGGCACGGGTGGGCGCCCTGTGCGCTGCGTGGGTTCGCCGAGGTTGCGCCGCGTTGCCGCCCGTGCTACCGCGTGGGCGCTCCTGGGCGCCGTGCTCTGGGTTTGCCGCCTCGTCGGCGCTCGTGGGTTCCCCGTGCGCTGAGCGCACACCATATAGCCTACACCGCATATCTCGCGCGAACCAGTTCACACCACATAGCCCACACCACATAGCTAACGCCGCACAGAGCGGACTTCACACACATGTAGCTTCCACCTGCAGCTCACTCCACAGATATTCAAGTTTCAAAGAAGACTCGACTCTGCCACCCTTCCCCCCCCCGACCGGGTAACCGATACCCCCTATGATAGTACATTTGACATATGATTCTGAGCCATCGCTCAGTTTCCACATGCAATCACATCATTCCAGTCAGGCCGGTATCGACCCTTCCCATCCGTGTTTATATCAGCATATCAGACAAATGCCACGGCGCCTACACGCTCGCATTTTGCAACAGCAAACCAACCACAATAGGTTCGCACTCAATCGCCATTATAGACATAAGCGCAAACACATGTTCCGATCTGCAATATTGCAGGTGTGCAGCCTGCGCGCGTTGGCTGGATGATCGGGAACCATGTGGTTTCAGCACTTTCGCCCAAAACCTGAATTCTCATCCCACCTCGCGGTGGTTTTGCGCTGATCTAGCATGCGCCCATTGCACGAATCCGTATCAGATAAAACCGTGTTGGCCACGCGTGGGCCACCACGCGCACGTAGTGAAGCATTTGAAGACATATCTTTTTATACGCATGGAAACAAGGTGGTTTCCAACGACAGTCTGACAGATTTTTTTCTGCGCGCGTACTTCTCCCCATCACCCTTAGCAGCGCCATCGCATGACCGTTCTTATCGTCAGCGCAAATTGTCGCTATTCCTGCCATCGTCAGGTAATCACCGTCATCACCGACACATGGACATTATGATCGTCATCGTCGCCACCATCTGCGCCGTCACTGTCCTTGCCGTCGACTTCGTCGTCATCATATTCACCATCACCACCGCTACTATCATTATCTTTGCCGCCGTTTTTGACGTCATCTTGATATTGCGCACGCCCGAGTTGCCGAGCCGCACTGCGGTTGCCGCGCGCCAGCGCGGCTGTGGAGACGCGCTGGGGACATCCCGCGGGCAAGCGTCATCGCGGTTGCACCAGTTCGACCAAAGCAGATGGCCTTTGTGCGCGCGTTTTAGCGTGCGCCAGCGTGGCCGCAGAGATGCACCAGCCAGCGCCAAGCAGCCACCGCAGTCGTGGTCGCATGGGTTCTACAACACATGTTACCGGTGTGAGGGTGGGATGTTCGCGCGAGCAGTGGAGTTGACAACTCATCAGTGACCTCAGTATATGAATTACACGAATGCAGCGCGTCGTTTTTAGTTCCAGAGCTTCCGCCAAACTGGTTACACGTCAGCGCTTGCACCGCATAGTTAGCCTGCGCCCATCTCTATCCCGCGTCGTGCAACGACTCGCTCTTTGTTGTCCATACTTGGTTGAATTGTGACAGCTTTGTATGCGTGTATATACACTGTGCCATATGTATACCTGTAGATCCATAGAGGCATCTACACATGAACGCAGATATAGACGTATACTTGTACTTGGACGAATTTTCACATGTGCATGCATGTACATATATGTGTACACACGTTCGTACATGTATGAGTCTATGCATCCATGGCTATCTTCTTCTTTATGCGCACCACCATTCCATACATGTGTGCATGTGTGTCTATGGACTTGGGACCTGGGGAAAACCAGGAAGGGGGGGATTGGGGGGAGGTGTCTCACCTAGGCGCCCCGGCCGCGGCGCCCTCCCCCGCCCCGCTCGCCCCGCCGCCGCCCCCCCCCTCGGGCGCGGTGTATGGCCGACGGCCACGGCACCGCCCTGATCGACGAGGCCGGGACCGGGCAGGCGAGCTCCGCGCCGTCGGTGCAGTGGTGCGGGCTGTGCTTCTCCGTGGGCGACAAGGCGATCCTAAAGGACCCGGACGGCGAGAGCCAAAACGGTGCACATCCAGGCCTTCTAGATGGGGTCGGGGTAGATGGGGTCGGAGGACCGCGCCGCATCGCCGATGCATCGGCGATGCGGCTCGATGTGGAGCCCGATTTGCTTCACGTCGACGTCTCCGATGCATCGGCGATGCGGCGCGATCCTTCGACCCCATCCGCTTGGACCCCTTCAAGGAGGCCTCTAGCACAAAGCCTGATCTCGCCTCGCGGAAGCACATCTCGCGGTGAAACGTGGTTGTATTGTTCAGCATGTGGGGGGTCATCCTGACCAGGCCACGGCGCCGCCGCCGAAGCGCAGCTCGGGACGGAGAGCCCGTCCCTCTGGAGGGGTCGAGACACGCCCTTGGAATTCGAAGATACCGTGACTCACGTTTTAGGTTTTTTTTTTCCTGCGGGCCCCAGGGACCTCGGCAAGCACGACTCACGGCACGCACGCCGGCGAGAAGGGAGGGGGTGGAGAGGTGTCACAAAGGGAGGGGGGTGGAGAAGGGAAGCCACAAGAGGGGAAGAAGGGAAGGAGGGGGTGGAGAAGGGAGAAGGGAAGGAGGGAGGGGGAGAAGGGAGAAGGGAGGGGGGGGAGAAGGGAGGGGGGGGAGAAGGGAGGGGGGTGGAGAAGGGAGGAGGGTGGAGAGGCGTCGGGGAAGCCACAAGAGCACGCCGCAGGTCTCGTGTCGACGCGGCGGCGGCCCCGCCGCGGGCGGTCCGAGGCGAGAGGCCGTCGCGGGCCTGCCCAACAGGGAACGACTTGGCGATCGAAACGCCGCCGATCGTCCTCTCCTCCTCCTCCTCCTCCTCCTCCTCCTCGTCCTCCTCCTCCTCCTCCTCCTCCTCCTCCTCCTCCTCCTCCTCCTCCTCCTCCGCCTGCCCAACATGGAACGATTTTGGTTGAACGGCCCATGCGGTGCCACAAACCAACGGCCGAAGGCGCGAGGTCACCAACCCTTCGTGCAGGTGTTGCCGTCTTCTATGCTTGCAGAAATACATCGGGCTGGGCCGGGACGAGGATCATTTCGTACCAGAGCTGCCTGAATTCCGAGATTCTCGATTTCCCCCCACCCGATTTTGGCCTCGTCCTGGCTTCGTCTTAAGGCATCTACAGTCGGGGCCCTGAAGAAGGAGCCCTTTTCGTTGGGGAGGGGCTCCGCGTTCCTTAAGTGTTTCACAGCTTGCCTCAGGTTTCCCTTATGTTTTCGATAGGAAATCGAAGTTCAACTTATGGAAAAAAGGGGCCTCGTTCCTTATTTAGGGTTCCTTAGGTAAACGCCCCGACTGTACCCTGTCCAGGCCAGCCCTGGGCTCGGGCTTGGTGCCAGCACCTCCGTGGCCCGGCCAGGTGGGCGTGCTCGCCGACCGGAGCCAAGGGTCGGCCCGGCCAGGATCGTTTCGTGCGCGTACGCAGCTCGGGACGGCCGACATGGGCACGGTGCGATGCCCAACAGCAGATCCTGTTCATTTTGAACAGGACTCGCTGTCCGCGCCGCCGCGGCCCGTGTCTACTTGAGACAGGCCGTCTGCCCAACAGCGGCCGCTGTTGGTCTGGGACAACCTTTGTTGTTTGGCATTGTACCCATTTTTCCCGTACCCATTTCGGGCGTCCAGTGCAGCCCTCGTCCTCCTGGGGGTCGGAGCAGCGTAAGGCTCGAGTTTGCCAGAGCTCGGGTTGGCCGCCGCTGCTCGACGGTCTCGGTCTGGTTTTCGACGGCCCAGTCTTTTGCGAGACGCCTGCAGCAGGAGCTCGCGCCACACTTGAGCACGGGCCACGCCTGTTCTCTGATGGCCCCGTCAGGCCATCTCGAGCCCCCCAGCTCGAGCCTCACGTCTTCTCTCGGCGGCGAGCGAGGGGAGGAGACGAGAAGGACACAAGGCCTTCTCAGAAGGCGGTCGGACTTCTCGGAAGCCCTCGCGCCCTTCCGAGCAGCTCTCCACGCCTTCGGGGAAGACTGGGAGAACACTTCTCGGAAGGCTGGGGGCCCTCCGAGCCTCCCGAGAAGGCCCGCGCCCCCTCTCGCTTCCCCCCCTCGCCCGCCGCCGATCACGTCCTCCCGAAAGGACGTCTCTGGCGGTCTGGAGCAGGGCCAGCTCTCGGCGATCCTCGGGCCCTCCGGCGCGGGCAAGTCCACGCTGCTGAACGTGCTGGCCGGACGGCAGCGCACCGAGGGCCAGGGCTGCAGCCTCAGCGGCGCCGTCCAGGCCGGGACCTCGGGAGACTGTCGAAGCCTCGGCGACGACGGCAAAGAGTCAAGACGACGACGAGTAGGATCAATGATAGAGTCACCGCCCACCAAACCACCCCAACCCAACCCGAAGGCCTCAATTTGCTTTCCATTTCCAGTGGGGGGGGGTCCGGGAACGTCGAGAAAACACACATGGAACCCGTACTCCCCCCCCACCCGAAAGTCGGGTCTTCGGGTTGGGTTGGGGTGGCCTGGTAGGTAGTCATAGAGAGGCTCCCGGGATGGCCCCACGATGGCCCAAGACGGCTCCAGGGCGGCCCAGGTGGCCGAGAGGCCCCGAGAGGCCACGCACGCGCAGGCAAACGCCTGCGGTGGCGCAAGACGGGTCGGTGGAGGGAGCGAAGCGAGTCAAGAATGATAAAAACGAAGAATGCGACGATCCCGACATTGTTGCTGGCGCCGTTGTCGTCCGGGGCGCCATTCCTGGCGCCATTCCGGGCCGGGGGCCTCGACGGCGACGACCGCGACGACGACGCTGACGACGCCGTCTTCGACGTCGCCGCCGTCGCCTTTCTCCGACGACGTCGGCGGTGGCGGCGGCGCCATCCAGGTCGGGGGCCAGGTCGTCTCTCCGCGCGAGCTGAAGCGGCGCGTGGCGTTTGTGATGCAGGACGACGCGCTGCTGGCCACGCAGACGGTGGAGGATCGACATACCATTGTGCGGGGCGGCCTCGCATGGGCGTCGCGCTCGCGCAGAAGGCTTGCAATGCTTTTGCCCAGCCACCCTGTGGTGGTGGGTTCTGACGTCTCAGCGCCCCGCGTCTCACTCCTTCCTCCTCTCCCTCTCTTACCTCCCTGCCTTTGTCCTCCACAGGTCCAGCTGCTCGGCACACCCCTCACACGCCTCGTGGCCCCGTGGGGAGCTCCACTGGAGGAACCAGCGGCAGGGCCCACATGCGGTTCCCCGCCCCATTTCAGCACCACCCTCACACGTTTCGTGGCCCCGTAAGGAGTTCAACGGAACGCCCCAGTGGCAGGGTCCACATGATGTTCCCCGCCCATTTCGACTCACCTCTTACACGTTTCGCGGCCCCATATGAACTCCACCAAAGGCGCCAGCGTCAGGGTCACATGCGGTTTCCCACCGATTTCGACTCGCAAGTCACACGTTCCGTGTCCTTATAAGGAGCTCCACCGGAGGCCCCAGTGGCAGGGTGCACATGCGGTTCCCCCCCATTTGGGCACACTCTTAACACGTTTCGTGGCCCCAATGGGTAGCTCCACCTAAGGCCTCAGTGGCAGGGCCCACATTCGGTGCCCCATTCATTTCGGCACATTCCTTACACGTTTCGTGGCCACATAGGGAGCTCCACCGAAAGCGGTGTCCACAACGCCGTACGTACAAACTGCACATGAAAGGGTCCTTCGGGCGGACAATTGAATCGGCAGCGCCAGCGGAAGCAGGGGTGAGGGTCGGTACCAGCAGGACGCACCGGGCGCGGGGTAGAAGGGCAGCAGAAGGAGAAGAGAGCGGCCGCGGAGGTAAATAGGACAACGAATAATCACATAAACATAACAACTTGGAGGTCCGCGCGGACCTTCGATTTTTTTTTTGTTTATGCTACTTGTCGTTCCCCTAGCAGACCCTGCAGTGCGTGCTCCGTGGCGGGCGCTGTCTCGCCGTACCGTTGGGGACTGCAGTGCCACACGTGCCCGTAAGATCGGTCGGACGAGCGCCTCCAACAGCTGCACCTGGGATTGCTAGCACCTCCCGCGCCCCAGAGGAGTCGCTGCTGTTCAGTTCCGCGCTGAAGCGGCCCGGGCGCACGCGGCAGCAGCGAGCCGCGGAGGTGGACGACCTGCTGCGTGGCCTGGGGCTCTCGGCGTGCAGGTTCCGAGTAGTCGAGGCAGCGGTGGTTGATCTTCGGGGCGCCCCCTCGTCGCCACGGCCGGACGCCCCTCCCCTCGGAGAAGAGGGGTGCTCGGACCCCAGGGGGGCCTCCGGGGACCGAGTGTGAGCTGCCGTCGTCTCGTGTCGCCTTGCGCCGACAGGTCCACCGCCATCGGCAGCGCTCTGGTAAAGGGAGTGTCGGGCGGCGAGCGCAAGCGGACCTCGGTCGGCGTGGAGCTGATCACCAACCCCTCCATATGTGGAGAAGGAAGAGACCCGATGGAGAGAAGCTCTCGAAGGCCCGCGCGGAGCTCTCGGGGCTGTGCTGGATCCGCGCGCCAGTGGTGGTGGTGGTGGCGGTGGTGGGTGCGTGCAGCGCGTATCTCCAAGAATCCCGCGCGGGCCTCCGACAAAAAGCTTACAGTCGGGGCGCTGAAGAAGGAACCTTGATTGTTTTACGGTTTGCCTCAGGTTTTCTTGAGGTTTCCATGGGAAGTCGAAGTTTAGTTGAACTCATGGGAGAAAGGGGCCTCGCTCCTAATGAGGGGTTCCTTGTGGCACCGCCCCGTCGGTATGTCCAAGCAGCCTCTTCTATCTCTGCCCGTTGTGCTGCTGGACGAGCCCACGAGCGGGCTGGATTCCTTCGCGGCCGCGGAGCTCGTGCGGCTGCTGCGGGCGTTGGCGCGGCGGGGCCGCGTCGTCTGCTGCACCATCCACCAGCCCTCGTCCGAGGTGTTCGCGCTGTTCGAGCAGGCCGCCCGGCATCGCTCGGACGTGTGCATTCCTTGATGGCGAGGACCATCGGGGATCATCTCGGATCATCTTGCGGACAAGAAGTGCACGCGCGACATCGTAACACGCACGGGGAATGGCCGTCCGAGCGGTGGCGAGGTCACCTGCCTGCGCGCGGGGGAGGTGCTCTACCATGGCCCTGGCGGGGAGCCCCTGCGGGAATGCCTGGCCACGGCGCAGATGCCGTGCCCCGGCGGGTACAACGCGGCGGACTCCGAAGAACAAACAGCTATACTCGACGGTCGTTGAAAGTCGGTATTGTGGATCCCCTGCTCCCAATCTACTTGTAGGTGCCTTCCTCCTACTTCAAGGGCCGAGCGGTTTTACTTCTTCCATCCTCTTCAGGGGGCGGGAGGAAGCCCACTCTACTTCAAACGCCTTCCTATTTGATGTATCTACCCACTTGTTCCGACCGACGGGTACAGTAGCACTGGTCTACCACACAGACGGGGTGCGTTTCTGTAGAGTAGCGTTGTCCCAAGCTTTATGGCTTTGTCCCCCGCCCCCTGGAAACACTCCAGAATCATGGGGACGGCGGTGAGGATGATGACGATGAGGAGAACGAAAAAGGTTTGGAGAAATGGGATGAAGATACCGAAGAGGCTGGTGATGATGGCGAGGACGAGGGGGACGAGGACGACGCGTGAGGATTGTGAAGAAATGAGCGCGGGGACATCATGGGGACACCCCCACTGAGGGCGTAGATGAAGCTCCCTGGGAGGCAGGAAACATGTGAGGCGCGTGCCGAAATGTCACGTGGACACTCATACTGGGTGTCGAAACGTGTGAGGGTGTGCCAAAGTGGAGGGGGGCGGCATGCGAACCATGCCATTTGGGCCTTTGGTGGAGCTCCCTGTGTTGTCGCGAGACATGTGAGAAGTGTGCCAAAATGGAGGTGGGGCGGCATGCGAACCATGCCACTGGGGCCTTTCGTGGAGCTCCTTATGGGGCCACGAAACGTGTGAGGGGTATGCCAAAGCGAGGGGGGGTGGCGGGAGGAGGGAGGAGGGAGGATGGGAGATGGAGGGAAGGAGGAAGAGCAGAGGAGAGGAGGAGACGCGGGGATTGTCTCTTCAAAACGAGGACCCAACTCAACACATGATTGTTGGGGAAACACAGAGGAACGCACAATCAAGCAACTTTGGCCCCTACATCGTTTGTCTGATAGACAAGGGCTACGCTTTGCAATGACCAGCAACTGTCGGAACCCCGCGCGGATTTCCTGCATCGCCGCTGGCCCCCCCTCCCTCCCTCCGCCGCCGCCCATCCGCCCATGGTGCGCACCGTGCGCCGGTGGAGGGGGTCCTGCGCCGACCCAATCCTCACGGAGCTCCGACGGTCTGCGCTCGTGCAGCTGTTTGCTCCTCCAGGACTGGCTCCTCCTGGTGGCGCAGACGAGGAGCGACGGCGAGTGCGCCGCGCTGGAGTCCGTCTGCTGCGGCAGGGCGCTGGACAGGGACGGCTCGATGTCGGAGCTGCGGGACAGGGTCGCGCGCGGTGGGGGGGCGGGGAGCGGGAGGGTCAGATGCTCGTTTGGGGTGCCTTCTGAGGGCCCACCGAATGGATCCGTTCGCCCCTGATCCAGATCTAGTGGGGCAGATCGAGAAACTCGATCCCCGACCTTCCCTGGATCCGTGCCCTGCATTTTTGTTTGGACGGGGCCAGGACGAGGATAAGTCCTTTTCCGGAGCGTTCGGGAACGCTCTGAGAGCGTTCCCGAGCGCTCTGAGGAGGCCGCGGCGCCCGAGGCATCCTCCAGAGCCGCTGGACTTCAGAGATGCTCTATTCACCCCTCCCCCGGATTTATATCCTCGTCCTGCCTTCGTCCTCCATGAAGAGGGCGCGGGGAGTACCGCGAGCGGCACATCGCGGTGCGCGGCGCGCCGAGGTGGGCGGCACAGCTCCCATCGGCGGCGAGCCAAGTTCGAGCTCCGAGGTCCCGAGGCTCGAGTCGTTTTTTGTCATTGCTTGCGGCCGCTGGGAACCGTTCTCGGGCCCGGGGCCCCCGAAATTCGATCAGGGGTAATACCGTGGACCCCAGGAGGGGTCGGGGGACCGATTTTGACCAATCTTTGGCGGCGCTTCCGGGGGGGGAGTGGGAAGGAGGAGGCCTTCTCAGAAGGCGCGCGGGGCTTCTGAGCAGCCCTCTGGCCTTCTGAGGAGCTTTCTTTTGGGGGGGGAAGGCTTAGACAACTTCTCAGAAGGCTGGAGGGCCTCCCCGAGCCTTGTATCAGCGGCACCGTAACGGGTATTCCTTAACGGATACTTTGGGAAGTTGCCGAACGTTGTCTTTTTAGGGCCTCTTTCTGGCCTTGCAGCGTGGCCCACTTCGGGGACGGTTGGGTTCGCCGGGTCACTGGCCAAAGTACCCGTCAGTGGAGTCCCCGTCAGAGGGGCGATGCTTCTGAGAAGCTTTCTATCTCCGGGGGAAGGCTTAGAACACTTTCCAGAAGACTGGAGGACATCTCTGAGCCTTCTGAGGCTCGGGAGGGACAGAAGCGCAACATAATCCACCGGCGACTCCCAGGAGAATAGAGGGGGAACTGTGGGAAGTGGGGGGGGGGGAGACGCAGACCCAGAGAGCATGGGAAAGCATCCAGAATCCTGGGAGCTGTGCCGGCTTCTCTTTCCGGGGCCCATTGGGCCCCTGTACTTGAACCACCGCGTGGCTTGTTAAGTCCATCGCGGTGTTGTAAGTAGCTTGAGTGTGGTTCCCTTCGGTTGTGATCTTCTTGGTGGTGATGATGAAGATAAGAGTGATGTTGTTGTTGTTGTTGTTGTTGTTGTTGTTGTTGTTGTTGTTGTTGTTGTTGTTGTTGTTGTTGTTGTTGTTGTTGTTATAAGTTCGGTTCAGTGGACGCTTCTGGAAGTTGTAACTCCAACAACCACTACACAAGGGGGGCGGTGATTCAAGTATAGAGAAGGCCCGCCCCCGCCCGCTGCTCCCCCGGGCGCGCCGCGGGCCTGCAGAGGTCCTCTCCGGCGACGCGGGCGCCAACAGCTTCGGCCACGGGGGCGGCTGGCCCCGCGGCGAGGCGCCGCGCGTCGGCTTCTGCAGGCAGGTGGCCGGAGGAGGAAGAGGTCCCCCTATATACCCCCACCCTCCGCTCGCTCGCGTTCCCCTTTCTGGGTCTCCTGTCGGGTAGATCCAGGACCCCAGGTAAGGGGACCCGGTTAGGAGTAGGGCCCTGGAGCCCCTAAATGCAACAGAATCACTGAACCAGGTCTGCCGTAGCTTGTGTTTCTTCGGGTGACGGCAGTTCCGGTCAGTGGAACGGGCGGGGGAGGGGGGGGGCGTCCCCCAGTACGCATCCCTCAGCCAGGTCCCACCAAGCCCAGTTCTGCCAGAGCCCGATCCTGGGTGGCCCTCGTCGCCACCGCTGGGTTCGCTTCGAAATCCTGGCCCGAATGCGCCCCGGGAGGTCCGGGGAGTCGCAGTATCGGTACCTGTTGCTCTCCCCATAGGTGGCCCTGGTCACCCGCCGCGACCTCCTCAACTTCTTCGGTGGCAAATCATGGGAGCCTCCTTTGGCGTCGATGAGCATCGATGGCGTCGATTACGATAAGCGTCGATCCTCCCTTCTTAATTCCACGTTTGGCGTCGATCAGCGCGATGAGCGTCTGGGATTCAATGAGATAGCGCCGATTTAGCGCCGATTATGCCGATTAGACGTCGATTTAGCGTCGATGAGCGTTGACAAAGATGGGTATATGGGAGGCTCCCACTAGTTGCCACCGAAAACGTCCTGCGCGACAAGAGGTCGTTTGGCGCGCGCATGGGGATGACGATGGGCCAGGCCGCAGGGCGCGGGCTGCCGCCCAAAACAGAGCAGTATCGCTTCCCTGGGGCCTCTCGGGTCTCGGCCTTGGAGCAGCCGTCGCAGGCTTGTTGTGCCCTCGGTCTGGGGCAAGGGCTGCAGCTCGCAGGCCGGAGCAGGGGGGGCCAAGAGTGCCTCTCGTGTGCCCGACTGCTGGATTTAGGCAGCTCGCGATTCGCGATCGGCGCTGGGCCCCCTCGCGTCGGCTCTGGCGCCGCCTCTGGCGCCGCCCCTGGCGCGCTCCGCGCCCCAGGGCAGGGACATTTCTCAGTTTCATGCTCGAGGTCTCCTCGTATCGCCACGGCTGGAGAGGGGCTCCGCCCGGGGGGCCCCCGCGTCTCCGGGAGAGAGTGCGCGCCTGCCGGGGGAGGAGAGGCCCCCGAGTGGGGGGTGGGGACGTTTCGGAGGGGGCTGCGGCTTCGGCTGTCGAGGGCCCCCGGCTCTGGGAGGGCAGGCTATCGGTGCCACCAAAGCATACTTACGATACCGTCAACCCACATAGTAAATATGAGCGGCTTTCCAAGGTTACCCTCGATCCTCTATCTTCGATCTTCCTCCTCGATCCTCGACCGTCCTTCTCCTCCACCCTGTCGATGTTGGAGGGATCTCGTGGGCGGCCAAGGGGGGGTGATGACTACAGTCAACCCGCAGAGTAAGGATGAGCGGCTTCCCAAGGTTTACCCCTTGCACCCTGCCCTTCGGCCCATCCTCGGCCGCTTTCGCTGGCCGCGTCCCGTTCGCAGAGTGTCGACATGGTCTGCCGAGGCCCTTGCATCCTTACCGCGCATCCTTACTATGTGGGTTGACTGTAGGCTCTTGTGCGTCGCCCCCCAGAAGGGGCGACGCGCGCGCCGAAACATCGTAATAGTATGTGGAGCACCGCAGTTGCGGACAGGAGTTTGGTGGTTGAGAGTAGGTTGTCGGGGTCGGTCGTTGAAAGGAGTACTACACGCTTGTCGTTGAGATTAGGTCAGTTAGGGTTCCTATGTTCCAATTTGCTTTAAGCACCTTCCTACCTCACTAATCGATCTGTGTTTGCTGTGTTTGGCTATTCTCTGAGAAGGCCTGGGCCCAATCTACTTGATCCGCCTTCCTACTTCATGTTTTTTACTACTTATTCCTACCGACGTGTATTTGTGCGTCGCCCCCAAAGGCGTGACGCGCGCGTCGAGAGATCTATCTAGTATGTGGCACCCCGCAGTTGCGGATACGAGTGGGTGTGCGGCGATGTCGTCGGCAGTCTGCGAGGCTCCGAAGAAGTTCGCCGCAGATTCCGAGTTTCCAAATACTTTACACCTCTTTCCGCCCGATCTGCCCGTCTGGTTCTGCCACGTGTTTTCTGCTCCTATCCCCCCTGCTGTTACTCTCTCTCTCTCTCTCTCGTGCTCCATCCTCCTCTCTCCCCCTTGTCCCTTCCTTCCATCCGTCCTCTCTTCCCCTGCCTTAGGTGCTGCACGAAATACACGTTGCAGGTAAGAAAGATACCCCCCCAAGGGGATACG